CTACACACACACACACGTATCATGACTCCCAAGGTTTCCATACTTTGGCTGCAGTTCCTGTACTCCATAGTCTCAAATACCACACCAAGAAAACTTGGTTTACTCTTCAGTTTACTCTTTACACAAGTAACACAGTAATCATGCAGCAACAGCCTAGCTCAGGTAACTTGCCTTGCATTATGCAGTGTCTCTGGCAGAGACAGTAGCATCCACTTCCTCAAAGAAGCACTTTGCTGCTTTAACCAGGACATTGCCCTTTCTTGTCCCGCAGTGCCTCACCTAACACTGCTACTCCTCAGTTTTGCAGCAAAAGACAGGATGCTGTTGTCAGAAGTTTCCCTTCCTATATGGTTATTTCCAAACACAGAAGCCCATTCTTTGCCTTGAATGAGACCAGGATCGCACGGGAAAAAACAGGGTGTCATTTTACAAAAAATAATTATACTATAACCCATAATTTCTAGCAGATTAAGGTAATATCTCATAAATTGAGAGCCTTAAAAACCAAGCACAATTAAAATGCAAGAATTTATGTCAGGTAACATCATCACAGCATCTGTGCTTTCCACCAATGAAGTGAGATTCCCTGCATCTCCTACATATGATTTCTGCTTTGAATAAACTGAACAACTGACGGCATAGTAAATTATCATCCTCCACATGGAGCATCAGAAAGACTAATTTGCGGAGAGTTTTTCCAAACATTTATTGACAGAAGAGGAATGGTGAGACTTCAAGGGCTTGGATACGAGCCCAAGTTTTAGCAGGGTTTAGTCTGTAAACCCTTTTCTGAATCCTCTCCTATCTCTTCCTACTTCTAACCTAATCTCTTTCCTCTAGGCTTAAGTCCGCTGTTGTTGTAATCCTCATCCTCACTTTAATCTTTGTACCTATGCAGGGGGTAATTCAATTTCATGTTTCCTTTAGCAACAAAACCTGACTGAAAGATCTGTCTTGAGCTGCTCACTCCTGCCACAGCCTTGCACTTTGCCATCCCTGGGTAGCAGGTCTTTGGGCTGCACCAAGTGATCCAAATTTAAAATTACTCTACAAAAAAAGAAAGAGGAGACCAACTCAAGACAAGACAGGTGGATTCGAAAAACCAACAGAAAGACACTTAGGTCCAGCGTGAAAATGTATTATGGTACTTGATCTGCATGATGTATGAAAAGTCATAAATAAATGAAAGCATGCACACCTATGAAAGCTCTGTTTCATGCTCAGGGTACACCAAAACTGAGACCATCTTGAGTTCCCTGAAATTTGATGGTTTGTGTAAAACAGTGTAAAAATAGAATCACACCTAATTGGAGTTTAAAATAAAAAGTCATAGACTTTTAAAATATAATATAACTAAATATCTAAAACTATACTAACTGCCAAGGAAATATATCCACAGTTATTTTATCTGCTGTAAATAAGACTAAAATAGTTAAAAATATATGAACGTGAATTTACACAAATTCTCCTGAGTTATCCTATGATTAGTCAGAAATTAAGTTAAAGATTCATGCATTTGTGCACCACCAGAAACAGGTGTTTTTTGCTGCAGTTAGAAGTTTCCATAACAATAACAATAGTACCAATTAAAAGCCAATTAGTCATGGACATTACTTTAAGGGTCCAGTACTTTGCAAACTCTCTGCTCTTCAATTTTCCTTCTCTGGAGCTGCCTATTATTCTCAATACAAAGACCTTAAAATGAATGTGGACTATTTCCCTGTCACTATGGAAACTTTGCTACACTGCCCCAGACACAAATGCTTCCCAGGCATCTTCAGAGCTACTTTCCCCTGTGATCTTTGCCCTAAACAAATGTGCTGTTTATTCACTCTTCTGCTCAATGATGAAGACCCATTAGATGTTGTGTGAATAATAATGAAAACAGAATTAAGTCTATTTTTAAGAATGAGTGAAGACTCCCCTAATAAGACTACCATGATATTGACAGCATACTGGTTAGCTTCTCCCATTCTGCTCTTTAAATCTTGAAAACTGTGCCAGATAAAATTAGAGTATGAACTTGGCATTAAGTTTTGCTGAGCAATAAAAAGCTCTTATTAAAAAAATATAGCATTAAATCATGTGATGAGAAGTCAGAAGATCCTGGTGTTTTGTTGTTCCACCACCAAAAAGCATCTCCATGCAACCATTCATGCCTCTACCACCTCACTTTGGGATGATGAAATACTGTGTGCTCCAACAATGCAAGTGAGGAATCATGAATCAATGTCATGAATTAAAAGCTTCTGCACTGTTTGATTTGCATCTTCTTTTTGAAGATGGGGAAATCTAGTCAGAACTTCGTCTTTTTCTTGAAACATTCTCCAAAGCTAATCTGGCCACTAATTATGTCAATGGCAAAGCAAAAAAAGGAAAACAGTCCCTTTCTTTCATGAGTCAGTACAGATTCATTTCTTTTCATATTTATTCACTACTTAGCGTTTTGGATGACATGGATGAGACAAGTGTGTTTACACATCTCTCCTTTGAAACTCCCTTTCCAGGGCATTTCCCACCTCCTTCACCAGGCTGCTGATTCTTTCCTCTCCTTTCACATTCCCTAGTTGCTCCTGTGTATAAACCGGTGCCTGGCACCATGTGTTATACTGCACTCCTAGTAAGACATACCAGAACAGTGAATTTACAATTTAATAGATTCTTGACATTACATGTTAACTGATCAAATGCTTTAAACTTCAAGATTTATTCCTGTTGCTGCTTACTTTTTATCTTCATTCCTACCTGGCACAGAACAGCTCTGACATTCCAACCTGTCTGGCCACATATTCCTTATGTATATTTTAAAATCTACCAAACACCTTGAAATAATTTCAATTACAACTGCCATGTCTTATTCTAGAAATGAAAGTTTATCTTGGTCTATGTTATTTTTTTTTTAATGCCCTATTTCTGTTGGAGTGATTTGATGCAAATGACAGAACCCGATTCAAAGGTAAGATTTAAATTCTGGAGCACCTAGGGGTGAAAATCCTTGCTCAAAACCCACATTTTTCTTGCTTCCTTGCTCAATATCAAGAGGGAAAAAAAAAAAAAAACTTGCTTTCTTCAATCGATACACTAAGCAGAAAGATTAGATTGTCTGTATGGTTCCCTTCATTTCTCTATAGTAAAAAAGCTGATCATGTCCTCACATCAAGATTATAGAATAATCAGCACTTGTACTTCACATATCTACAACTAATGGTAAGCTCCCTTAAAAGAAGGACAGAGAAATGAATGCTATTCTTTAGGTTTTTCCTGAATCTCAATTGATTGGAGGTAGCCTGTTATTATAAGTCATGACAAAGTGTTGACTTTAATGGAGGAAATTTTTTTCATTGAACTTTTCAGTGCTTGCTGGACTGCAAGCTAAATTGAAACCAGGTTGCCAGATGTAAGAAGTTAATGCCATCAACGGACAGTATTCACTTCTCCCAGAAAAGTGTTTCATGATGCTTCAGTATTATTCTCAATTTGTAATGGGTTAAAAGCTGACTTTGAGACAACAGTGACTATTTTCATGGGACGGCAGCAGCTCTCTTATTATGCAAGCTAACTTTAGAAATCACTAAAACCCAAACAGGTCTAAATGACACCCTTGATTGACACCAGGAGAACTTTGCTAGATAAGAGTCCTCAAAACTATTGGAAAGGATATTGAGGGCCAGGCCCCAAGTTAATTTTGTTTAAAAAAGAAGGAAAGTAATGCATTTAAGGAAAAACAAAATGTAACATCCCCATCAAACGATATTCCACAGTAAACAGCCAAAAGTCTCAGGCTCATAGCAGTGTTACTGCAGGATTTAATTGCGATCTGCACTGATCCCCAGAGCCTTCATTTTGACTGCCCATACTTAATGGTACTTGCTATTTGCAGGCTACTTCGTCATTTTTTTCCAGAACTAACGAAAGCTGAATGAGTATGCAGGCTCCCTTCTGGAATCTGCTGTTTCCCTCGACTTCACAGGAAGTCTAATTGCTGCTAAGCTAAGTAATACCATAACTGTAAATGGGGCACACTGCGAGTTTTTATGCTGTCCACTATACTCTAGGGTGAAAAAGAATTGATGACTTCCAAGCATGATTTATCC